TGTTGTATCATCATGTACTGTACATTGTAAGTTGTCGTAGTGTTGTATCATTATGTATCTGTACATGTAAGTTGTGGTAGTGTTGTATCATTATGTACTGTACATTGTAAGTTGTGGTAGTGTTGTATCATCATGTACTGTACATTGTAAGTTGTCGTAGTGTTGTATCATCATGTACTGTACATTGTAAGTTGTGTTAGTGTTGTATCATCATGTACTGTACATTGTAAGTTGTGGTAGTGTTGTATCATCATGTACTGTACATTGTAAGTTGTGGTAGTGTTGTATCATCATGTACTGTACATTGTAAGTTGTGGTAGTGTTGTATCATTATGTACTGTACATTGTAAGTTGTGGTAGTGTTGTATCATCATGTACTGTACATTGTAAGTTGTGGTAGTGTTGTATCATCATGTACTGTACATTGTAAGTTGTGGTAGTGTTGTATCATTATGTACTGTACATTGTAAGTTGTGGTAGTGTTGTATCATCATGTACTGTACAGTGTACGTTATGGTCGTTGCATCATGGGTGTGTATCGCAGCGCACAATACTCGAGTCATGATTATACCTCTCGAAAGTCTTCCACTCCCTTGAATATATTGATGGGGAAGAACTAGCTCTTGGGGGCTTGTACAGCGCCAAGACCCTCGAGCAGGGTTTCTCAACTTTTCCTCCATCATTAACCCTCCCGGCTTGATGTATTTCTCCATTGACCCCCTCACTTCCTTACAAAAAATTTATCGCCATCATAAAGGAACAGAAAAACAAGGTCAGAAAAAATAAATGATTCAGGTTTTGCACAAAAATAGCAATATACATTCGTATCACCAAAAATAAAACATTCTTTTTTTAAAGCAATAATTATTCAATTATCAGGTGCATCAAATATTTGCCATGTAATTTTTTACCCCCAAGGGGTAAATTTACCCCTGGTTGAGAATTACTGCCCTAGAGAATGGGAGGTATCAGGTTTGATCCAGGAACAAAAACGTAGCTCTTCTGCAGCTCTTTCTTTCCAATATTTGTAAGTAAATTAATAACCAACGCTGAGGAATAAGATAAGATTTGTTCGGATTTTTAACTCCGAGGATTAGCCACCCAGGATATCCCAAGAACGTCCTCGAGGTCTGTCTGTCTTATTTCCATTAGGGTCCTTAAATCTTGTCCCCCAGGATGCGACACACACCAGTCGACTAGCAAAGTACCTACTTACTGCTAGGTGAACAGGAAACATGCCCAATGTTTCCACCCATACCTGGAGGTTATTCCAGGGATCAACGCCAACGCAGTCCGGTCCATGACCAGGCCTCCCGATGGATCAGGGCCTGATCAACTAGGCTGTTACTGCTGGCCGCACGCAGTCCAACGTACGAGCCACAGCCCGGCTGATCCGGCACTGACTTTAGGTATCTGTCCAGCTCTCTCTTGAAGGCAGCCAGGGGCTTATTGGCAATTCCCCTAATGCTTGATGGGAGGCTGTTGAACAGTTTTGGGCCCCGGACACTTATGGTGTTTTCCCTTAGTGTACCAATGGCGCCCCTACTTTTTATTGGGGGCATTTTGCATCGCCTGCCCAGTTTTTTACTTTCGTAGGGAGTGATTTCTGTGTGCAGATTTGGGACCATTCCTTCCAAGATTTTCCAAGTGTAGATTATGATATATCTCTCCCTCCTGCGTTCCAACGAGTACAAGTCAAGTGCTTCCAAGCGTTCCCAGTAGTTAAGGTGCTTGACAGAACTTATACGTGCAGTAAAGGATCTCTGTACACTCTCTAGATCTGCGATTTCACCTGCTTTGAATGGAGATGTTAATGTACAGCAGTATTCCAGCCTAGAGAGAACAAGTGATTTGAAAAGGATCATCATTGGTTTGGCATCTCTCGTTTTGAAAGTTCTCATTATCCATCCTATCATTTTCTTTGCACGTGCGATCGTGGCACTGTTGTGATCCTTGAAAGTGAGATCCTCAGACATTACTACTCCCAGGTCCCTTACATTATTTTTCCGCTCTATTATATGGCCGGAGTCGGTAGTATACTCTGTTCTAGTTATTATCTCCTCCAGTTTTCCATAACGGAGTAGTTGGAATTTGTCCTCATTGAACATCATATTGTTTACCGTTGCCCACTGGAAAACTTTGTTTATATCTTCTTGGAGGTTAACCGCGTCCTCGGCAGATGACAGCCTCATGCAGATCCTAGTATCATCCGCAAAGGATGATACGGTGCTGTGGTGTATATCTCTGTCTATGTCTGATATGAGGATAAGGAATAAGATGGGGGCGAGTACTGTGCCTTGTGGAACAGAGCTCTTCACTATGGCAGCCTCCGATTTAACTCTGTTGACCACTACTCTTTGTGTTCGATTTGTTAGGAAGTTGAAAATCCATCTCCCCACTTTCCCAGTTATTCCTTTAGCACGTATTTTATGGGCTATTACGCCATGATCGCATTTGTCAAATGCTTTTACAAAGTCTGTGTATATTACATCTGCATTCTGATTTTCTTCCAGTGCATCCAAGGCCATGTCATAGTGATCCAGTAGTTGAGAGAGGCAGGAGCGACCTGCCCTGAACCCATGTTGCCCTGGATTGTGCAGATTTTGGGAATCCAGGTGATTTGCAATCCTGCTTCTTAGCACTCTTTCAAAGATTTTTATGATGTGGGACGTCAGAGCTATTGGCCTATAGTTCTTAGCTAATGCTTTGCTGCCACCTTTATGGAGTGGAGCTATATCCGTTGTTTTAAGTGACTGTGGAATTTCACCCATGTCCAAGCTCCTCCTCCATAGTGTACTTAGGGCATGCGAGAGGGGTTTCTTGCAGTTCTTAATGAAAACAGAGTTCCACGAGTCTGGGCCCGGGGCTAAGTGCATAGGCATGTTGTCAATGACTTTTTCGAAATCTATCGGAGTTACGGTAATGTCGGAAATCTGGCATACATTTATGGAGTTTTGAGGCTCATTCATGAAGAAATCATTTGGGTCGTCGATACTCAGACCGATTAGTGGTTCACTAAACACAGAGTCGTACTGGGATTTCAATATTTCACTCATTTCCTTGTTGTCATCTGTGTAAGTCCCATCCTGTCTGAGTAAGGGCCCGATACTAGATGTGGTATTTGCCTTGTTTTTGGCATATGAAAAGAAATATTTTGAATTTCTTTCAATTTCACTAATAGCTTTAAGCTCCTCCTGCCTCTCCTGGTTCCTGTAAGAGTCATTTAACTTTAGTTCGATAGTTTCCACTTCCCTGGTCAGCGCCTCCTTTCGTGTATCAGATATTCTAGCACTCAGTGACTCTTCGTCGTCTTCTGTAGAGGGAGCGTCTTTCTCTCTCCAGTTTACTCCTGCTCTTCTTTCTTAGGGAAATATGCCAGGAATATGCCAGGGATTGAACTACGGACACGCATTGTGAGGCGAGAGCTATGAATTGTTATAGTAATAACCATATTTGTTAAGGGGTGGACCCAATAGCCAGCGGAAGGCCTCGGGGCATCATATGACTAAAATCCGCGCCAGAAAACACTTGTCCTGTTTCCTAACAAATTTTACCTAACCTAACCTGTGGAACTGGACACCTTCTATCTAGGCAGAGGGACTGAACACCTGAAGATGATTTCCCCACTTCAATGAAGACTGAATGACTGAAAACCTCAAAATCTTCAACTGTCATCAACCTTATTCTAGTGATCTAGTGAAAACAAAATACATAATTTTATGTTTTTCGTTAGTACCAAACCTGTGATGAAACCTCGCCACATCTCTTTGTATTGGCGACCAAGTCTGGTTCTAACAAGTCCAAGTAGAGGAACTTCGAATCTCAGGTATCCGGTTAAATATTTGAGCCGAGACCCAGTGACCATTATGTATATGTATCCTGCAGACTGCGCCTTCACGCCAGGAATGATGTTCATTAAATGTCTATGTTTTCTCAGCTGAGATAAGATAAGAAAAGATGATTAATCTCATTTCTGTCATGAGTCTAGTAGATGGTTAATAATAATAATAATAATAATAATAATAATAATAATAATAATAATAATAATATAAAATAATAATAATATTATTATTATTATTATTATTATTATTATTATTATTTTAAAAATAACTTAAGAATTAACGAAGAATAATCCTTAAGAGAAATATAATTTATTTCCCTCAAGATTCGTTTTTTTCTATACATGTAACGTTGTGTAGCTTTAAAAATAGGTTGGATAAATACATGAGTGGATGTGGGTGGGTGTGAGTTGGACCTGATAGCTTGTGCTACCAGGTCGGTTGCCGTGTTCCTCCCTTAAGTCAATGTGACCTGACCTGACTAGGTTGGGTGCATTGGCTTAAGCCGGTAGGAGACTTGGACCTGCCTCGCATGGGCCAGTAGGCCTTCTGCAGTGTTCCTTCGTTCTTATGTTCTTATATGTATTTGTTTTAAGCAACCCCTCAAGGGACGTTCCTTGATGCTGGTGAGGGGCTCTTGATCCAATGAACTGGTTAATAATCCGAATTAAATATACAAGGTATTCACAGGTAAGATGGAAAACTTTTATAACATCTGATGAATTACACGACAGTCTTGTAATGTATATATTTTGTTGTTTTATGTGTAAATATAAGGACTTGTTTCCTTAAGAGACCTGCTGTCCAATGTTCACTTATCAATAAAATAGGTACCTGGGTCTTAATCGACTGGTGTGGGTCGCATCCTGTGGATAAAATTGACTTAATTTGCTCGAAATGCTCTGTATAGCAAAGGGTTTTCTATATATTATTATGTCATTGATGTCATCTGTATACCTTGTACATGTAGAAATAAATATTATTATTATTATTATTATAAATAGGGAAATAAATATTGGTTAAGTAAAAAAATACTTTATGCTCGCTTCCTCTTGCTCCTCCCAGACCAAAACTAGGTCAACTAGTTGGACATCTGCGCCGGCATTATTGGAGTGTTGTGTACATCTCACTTTATCTTTGCCTTCAGTATCCCTGACGAATGTTCTTTATTTCCTCTCCCTGGCACGTTTACCCTCGTCACACAATGCCCACTGCTGGGAAATTGGTCGGGGCGTCATATTACTTACTTATATACTAGCTCTTGCTGGAACCATGGAAAGCCTGTTGTTGTTGACTCAGATAAAGGAGGTTGTGTGAATGTCTAGCTCTTCCGAAGTTTAGGCGAGGCGATTCACCTGACATAATTTGGAAGTTATTATTCCCGTTTCTTCTTCCGGAGGAAACTTTGTTTCCTTTGTAATTCCAATCTAGTTTTGGACAATATTTTTTCCGGGAAGCAAGGCTCAATACAGTGTGAGCTTTGGTAACCTTAACAACCTCAACAACAACAACAACGCAGTTTTTAGTGTAAATTTCTCAGCTGATACAAGATGACTGAAGAAATTGAGGAACACGGTGTTAAAATAAACATTAAAGGCACTATCCAGGCACCCAAAAGGAATGAAGTTATGTTCAATTCAGACATGGTAGTAAATAGGTAAGCTTTCGAAATAAACTTACTAAAGACTGCATATTTATCCAAGACCCTAATGGAAATAATTCACTTTGACTTTCTTGGGTTATCCTAGGTTATCTACACATATCCTGCTGTGTATGATAATTTACGCAACTGTACTTATATGTACCTATACATGAATAAACTTAGGGATGTTAATCTAGCATGACTTGAAATCGCTAAGCAGTGTTGCATATTTCCATTGGGTCTCTTATGTCCTCTGCCCCATGCAACATTACCCTATACCATTAGGGCCAGATTTCTTTCTAGTACCTGTACTGCCAACTTGTTTTTAACAAAATGAACAACACTGACAGATCTAAGTCCCACAATCTTATTGTAACTTGATAACTTGACAAGAAAAGTTCACCAAAACGTATTAACACATTAATAGACACGTTGAGTCCAACACTAAGATGCTAGGGCTCATGGCACTGAGGTTCAGGGCTTAAATGATAGTGTGTTTGGCATACACTTGAAGGACCTGGGTTCAATCCTGGGACGAATGGAAACTTTGGGCATGTTTCTTCATGTGTTGCAGCTGCTCACCTAGCAAGATGTATCTGGTCATTACCTGATTAGGTGAATATCCAGATCAGATTCTTATGTGATTTAAATGTAATTTTTTCCTTAAAGTGTCCAATGTTAAGTGTGATTAGTCATAAAAATTTTTTAATTTTTTGCAAGTAGTAAATCATGTAAGCAAACCTAAAGATGTACCATAGTTATTTATTTCTTCTGATAAGGCACTTTTAAATTAATGCTATAACTGGGACAAGTACACATCCTTTTGACATCCCACTTTTGACAACTTCCTGTAAGGAAATTTTCTTTTGAATGTCTCTTAATAATTTGCAAATGTTTGCATCATTACATTAAATTCAGCAGATACAAATGTGCTGTTATCAAGGCATTTAAGCTATATTTTAGGGAGTGAATGTATAGTATGTTACATTAGGTAGTGCAATTTTCTCCTTATTGTGAAAATAGCTAACGGTGCTACTGTATTCCATATAAAATATATATATATGTATATGATACAGTATTTTGTTGTGAATATTTTCAAGGCAACCACAAAAGTACCAGCTGTGAGCAGCAAAACTTGTGGTATGTTTGGAATCCCCCTGTTGTGTGGTCTCGCATCAGAAATCAGTCCTGCGTGGAAATTCCTGTCTGGAGTAAACTCTACTGGCACAGCTTTCAGTTGCACAGGGATATGAAAGTGCCACCTCTTTCCCTACTCTACCATGAAGTAAGATGGCTTTCTTTGGCAAAAAAATATTTCCAAGAGTACTGGTGTACTCTTCACCAGTGCTTTTCGAAGTGTCTGATGCAATGGGCCAGCAGTTTGTTTTTTATTGTACGACCAACTTAGTAATATTAAAAGGAGATGAATGGGAAAATTATATATAAGTTAAGAAAAATATGCAGACAATTTTTTTCTGATATTTATCCCATAAGCATTTAAAAACACCTAACCTTTATTAATGTGAAAGACAAACCTGCTTATTTACCAGCTTACCAAGCTGTGGCTCAACTGAGGACAGTGACAAGAGTGAGAGAGATTAAATGCCCATACTGTTCCTGTACTTTATCTTAGTGATAGACATGGTAGGGAAAGCAGTCAAGTAAAGGTATGTCAAGGGAAAATGGAAGAAGAATTTTCAGAGCATATCTATCAAGGTCAGGATATTTTGCATTCACTTTGATCTGAAAAAGGAAGCAAGTGGTGTTACAGTTTAGAAAATTAGCTTCGGTCCTTCATCAGTAACAATTTATCCTCCACAGCGACAGTCAAATCATCCTTCAATGCAGGTACAGCTAGGTCTTGATTAGTGTGAATAATGAATCCCGTGAAGTGGTAGCATTATCTGAATTCACACTATTCAAAGTTATAGTTCTGTGTAAAATATGGTAGAGTGGAACCCCAAGTTTCGGCCGTAATCCGTTCCAGGAGCTAGGCCTAAACTCGAAACGGCAGAAAGTTGAAGCAATATTTCCCATAAGAAAATAATGTAAATACAATTAATCCCTTCCAGACCCACAAAAATATTCACAAAAAATACATTTTTTAAAGAATATAGTTTAACATACAACAAATATAAATACTACTTAAATGAGTAATGCAATACATAAATAAACATTTAAATAAACATTTAAAATCACATTTACATACCTTTATTGAAGAGTCTTGCTGGCATCTGGAAGATAGGGAGGAGGAGAGAGGGAGGACTTATTGTTTGGAAGGGAAATCCCCTTCCATAAAGACTAGGTAAGAAGTCCTTATCTGGGGTTACTTCCCTTCTTTGTCTTTTAATGCCACTTGGACCAGCTTGAGAGTCACTGGACCCCTGTTGCACAAAATAACTGTCAAGAGTGCTCTGTTTCTGGCATCTCTTTAAGATTTCCCTGAGGTGGGACAAGGTTTTGTCACTGAACATGTTGCAGATATGGCTTGTTTCAGCTTCGTCAGGGTGATACTTTTCAACAAAACTTTGTAACTCATTCCACTTTGCACACATATCCTTAATCACTGAAGAAGGCACCTCCTTCACTCCCTCTTCCTCTTCCTCTGGGACATCATCGTTTTCTAGTTCATCAAAGCCAGTGTTTGCTATTTCTTCAATAACAGACTGCTTTTGAGAGAGAAAACCTTCAAAATCTTTTGCACAATGTGGCCGAATGTGCTTGAGTACTACATGCATGTTACTTGCAGTTATTTGTTGACAAGCATGGTGAATATTTTTGATTGAATCTTTGATGTTATAATTTTCCAAAAGTCAGTTAAGGAAATTGCATTGTCACCTATAGTGCTAGCAGTTGGTCCATGGGCTTCATTAGAGATGTTGTCCTGTCATTTTTGCACACAGTTGAAAGAGTTTGGGAAAAAAAAATTGCATTGATTGAATTTTGGCTCACATTACATTATGCAACATGGTATCATTTAACCCTTTCAGGGTTTCTGACGTACTAGTACAGCTTACGGACCAAGGTTATTGACGTACTAGTACGCCTAAATTCTAGCGCCATCAAATCTAACGAGAGAAAGCTGGTAGGCCTACATATGAAAGAATGGGTCTGTGTGGGCAGTGTGCACCATATAAAAAAAAATCCTGCAGCACGCAGTGCATAATGAGAAAAAAAAAACTCCGACCGTTTTTTTTTTAATTAAAATACCGACTTTGCAGTTTATTTTCGTATAGTATTTATGGTTTTATTCTCGTTTTCTTGGTCTCATTTGATAGAACGGAAAACATGTTATAGAAATAGAGGTGATTTTGATTGGTTTTACTATGAAAAGAACCTGAAATGGAGCTCAAAGTAGGGGAAATGTTTGATTTTTGCCGATGTTCAGAAGTAAACAAATGATGTCATTTTCCAATAAATGTCCAAGTAGCCATTCTAATGTGCAGTCATGAATGGGTTGACATTATTTATACAATTATTACAATATTGCAGCAGTCTGCATAACAGTAAATCTTCTATTTTTTTTGTTTGAATAAAAATTCAAAATAGAAAGCAAGAGTAATATCAGAGGGGCCTGGAGATGTGACTGATGAACAAAGAAAATGTTATTTTAGAGCCAGGAATGTCTGCATTGTTTATTCTGGACCCTATTTTGAAAATGTCATATTTTTTAATTTTCGTGAAATTGGCCAAATTGCAAATTTCTGACCACATTATTGGGTAGTTGAAATTGGTAAATGGGCAGTTTCTTGTACTCAATCGATAGAAAAAATGGAGTTCTAAAGAAATAGCTATGAGTTTCGTCGACTGGAACAATGGAATTATCCGAAAATAGGCCTCAAAGTGGGCGAAATCGCTGATTCGTAAATATCGCCGATGTTGCTAACTTCGCAAGAGCGTAATTCCGTCAGTTTTCCGTCAAATTTCGTTCTTACAATCGGGAAAAGATTCTCTGTCATTTCATATGAAAAAAATAAAAATTTTTTTTTTTTTTTTTGAAATTTTGTAACACCAGGAGACAGCTCAGGATTTGGGGTTGCAACAGTCAAGAGGTTAATTATTACTTACATTCTCAAATCTGATAACAGGCAGGTGCATACATAACACAGGTCATCTGCATAATTGGTGGAAGCATCTGCATGTATACGTATCTAGGAAATGCTGCTTTCTGAGATATGTTGGCCATACATGTGCCTGGAGTATGTATCGAGTTGTTTATGCTGTAAAGGCGATCAGAGTTTCCCTGTGATCTTACTGAATTCACTTGGAGTGTACAAACTCTGGAGCTATGGCATATCAGTGTTATGCTTCAGAAAACATACATGTATACAGTGGAACACTGGATTTCGTCCGCACCAGATATCATACGATTTGGATTTTGACCACTTTTTTCGGCTAAATTTTGCTCCAGATTTCGTATCTCATTCCGGAAATCATCCATATCAGATGCGTCCACTCACCTGGGATGCTGCCACTCATGCGTATGTGTCTCAGTCTGGCTCTGTCACTGGTTGAGTGAGCATTCATCCGAAACATTTCGTAATAATTCATTGTTTTTTGTGCTTGTTTATTGAGGGCGACTGCAAAATAAGCCACCACCATGCTGATACAAGCCTTATCTGCAATGTGTTCAGTGACAATACCTTGTCTCATTTTAGGCAAATCTTAAAGAGATGCCAGAAACAGCTCTCTGGACAGATTTTTAGTGCAACTGGGCTCCAGTGCCAGTAAAAGACAAAGAAGGGAAGTAACCCTGGATAGGGCTTTGATGCCTGAAGGCCTATAGAGGGGGATTCCCCTTCCAAACAATAATCTCTGCTCCTCCCCCCTCTCCCCTCCTCGCCATCCATACCATAAGTGTGATGTTAAATGTTCATTTATCTATTTCATTAGTCATTTATATTTCTTTTTCATTGTTTTCTGTATGTAAAACTATAGTTATTCTTTAAAAAAATGTACTTTTTGTTAATATTTTTTGTATTTACATTATTTTTGTTAATATTTTTTGTATTTACATTTCTTATGGGAAATATTGCTTTGGTTTTCATCCGTTTCAGATTTACACTGACCTTCTGGAACAGATTAAGGACAAAATCCGTGGTTCCACTGTATTTCTTTAAAGAATAAAGAGGCACAATCTCCTGACTGGAACAATACACAAATAACTTGCACAGATTATTTGTGTACATCTTTTCTGGCAGCTTGCTGCTGATCAGAAACACTGCAGACAAGTGGTTGGTGACTTGTAGACTGGCAGTGGCCACTGACCACCACTTTGAGAAGCACTACTCTACACTACTGTAACCCGTTATTTTAGTAATGTACAACTTATTGGTATGAAAGTTAAGACACATGTGCAACATCTGGATATCTTTATTGTAGTAGACGTTTCGCCATCCAGTGGCTTTATCAATACAGATTCTAGGACATAATAGGAAGACAGTAGAACTATATACAAAAGATGAGGTAATCAGTCCCTCGGCCTTGGAGTTAGTGTTCACAGCATCGTGGTGGAGGAGAATCTGGAGCAAAGACAAGAAGACTGGCGGTTTATATAGGCGTCAGTGGATAGGGACGGGCAGCAGACGAGGGCAAAGTCACTGGTAGGCGGGATTCCCCAGTGGAAGTAGGTCCTTCCCAAAGAGATGGGTTAGTTGCAGCAGCCGTGAAGGTCTTGTAGATGTCCACTGGGGAATCCCGCCTACCAGTGACTTTGCCCTCATCTGCTGCCCGTCCCTATCCACTGATGCCTATATAAACCGCCAGTCTTCTTGTCTTTGCTCCAGATTCTCCTCCACCACGATGCTGTGAACACTAACTCCAAGGCCGAGGGACTGATTACCTCATCTTTTGTATATAGTTCTACTGTCTTCCTATTATGTCCTAGAATCTGTATTGATAAAGCCACTGGATGGCGAAACGTCTACTACAATAAAGATATCCAGATGTTGCACATGTGTCTTAACTTTCATATTGTCGGTATTTTATACCTTTCTTGCACAACTTATTGGTATGTTTATAATCTAATCTAATTTGTTTTTTACTAACAGATCACTTGTTCTCTGTGCACTAGCTGTATACAGTGAGTCTGGCAAGTGTGTCAATGGAAAAGTACGATGTCTAGATGCTCTTGGTGCCACAGGTGTGTCAGGGTTGGCCTGGGCTCGACAGTTACCGAAGGTGTGTAAAGTTTTTCTTCACATCATAATTACATCTACAGTTGTCTCTTCTTCTGGAAATTTAAGCACTGTAGTTAAGAATTCGTTTCTTTTTCTGTAATGCCTGAAGTAAAAGTGTGTTTTACAGGTCTCTGTCATAATAAATGATCAGCTGCCTGCTGCCACTCAGAGGATTCAAGAGAATGCTGCTACTAATGACCTTCATATTGAAATTACTACAGAGGACGTCAGTGTACTGTTGCATCAAAGACCATTTGATTTCATGTAAGTAAATAAATACACTATATATGGCATTATGAAGAAATGCAGGAAATTAAACAAAGATAATATAGAAGCTCTTATAAGTGATCTGTTATAAAACTGCTTCCTTTTATGATGTATGAAAATGATAAAACTTTCTTGTAAGTTACAAAGAAGCTACTGAAGGTATACAGTTTCTCTGTCTGCTGTTTCATACATTTGTACTTAATGATAAGATATACAGATTGATTATTAAGCTTTAAAAAATTTATGTATGCATTTTATACTTAATGAGTATATACAGTAATCTAGTAGTTTGTTCCCAAACTACTGTACAGTATGCATGAGACTAACCCCAGAAAAACAATTAAATTTTTAAGATAGTGTCTCTAAGAAAATTATTAGGCTGCAGCATTTTCAGCTCAATAGTTTAATGGATGCACTTAAGAAGTACCTAATGCATATCAATAACTGGACATTTTTGCCATTTGCAACTATGGTATTTTAAGTGAAAGCTTATGTGGAACTAAAGTATGGACAAGTTAATAATTATTTATAAATTAAATATAATTTGGTTTCGAACTTTTTAGAGCTGAATCCTATACAGCCTCTCCTCACATATTGACATACTCATTTACTGACAAATTGGGCTTACAACGGGCTCTCTGACCAGTACGCATACCTAAATAATGTACAGTATATTAGAGCTGATTTCCTCTATTATATTTATTACAATATACAGTACACTACTGTATAAACACTAAAAAATATAACAGAAATATTATAAATGGTTTAAAGGTGACATTAAAACAATATCAAAGATGCTTGACACAAACCCACTATCATTACAGTATGCTCCTCACTTAGTGGCCCGGTGGTCTGGTGGCTAAAGCTCCCGCTTCACACACGGAGGGCCCGGGTTCGATTCCCGGCGGGTGGAAATTCCGACACGTTTCCTTACACCTGTTGTCCTGTTCACCTAGCAGCAAATAGGTACCTGGGTGTTAGTCGACTGGTGTGGGTCGCATCCTGGGGGACAAGATTAAGGACCCCAATGGAAATAAGTTAGACAGTCCTCGATGACGCACTGACTTTCTTGGGTTATCCTGGGTGGCTAACCCTCCGGGGTTAAAAATCCGAACAAAATCTTATCTTATCTTATCTTAGCAACAAATTCATTTACCAACATGGTCTTAGGAACAGAACTCTGTCGTTAACCCTTTCAGGGTCAACAGGCCCTCTCCCAGACTTGTTTTCAGGGTCGAAAAATATTCGGAAAAAAAAATTGTTTTTTCTTATGAAAAGAGAGATTTTTTTCTGAACTTTATAGGCTAAAAAAAAATTTTTTTTGCCATCAATACTTACCAAGATATGGAGGCGTGAAGTTGACAGAAAGCGAACCGCATACGGCAGCATTGCCGACTGCCGGTCACCCGATAATCGTTTATTTTGTTTTTTTTCCTACATTTTTCTATTGTTTTTTAATATTTTTTCTTTTCAAGTAACTTTTATGCCCTGTAAGACCAATATGAGCACTATTTTGTAAATTTTTACTCTTTCTATACTACACAATAACTGCACAAACACTGTTGTCATTATATTGTTTACAAAACTTATTTACACAAGCGAACAGTATAAAATGTTTATTACTATTTTTATATATTTTATATACACATATACAGTCACAGGACATGTTTCTAGAAGTTCTGCAGCCTGTGGAAGT